TAGGCACGATACCATTTCCGTGACTATGCAGGGTATATGTGATGCAAATTTAAAATTTATAGATGTTTTCACTGGTGTGCCAAGTAAAGTGCATGACTAGCGTGTATTGAAGTTATCCTTCATTGGTAAGGAACTTCAAAAGCTTTGTCTACCAAAATATCATCTGTTAGGTGGTTCTGCTTATCTGATCCGAAATTACTTGTTAACGCCATATAGGGATTACGGGAATTTAACTGAGCAAGAAAAGACGTACAATTGCAAATTTTGTCAAACTCGGGTTCGAATAGAAAACACCTTTGGATTGTTGAAATGTCGCTTCCGGCAACTGATGCGATTAGATTTTCATGAAGTTGAAACTACAGCGAAGTTTATAATGGCATGCTGTGTACTGCATAAAATTTTCATAGACAAACAAGATGTTATTGATAGGGAAGAATACTGCGTTGAACCTTGTACCGTTCAGGAGCAAAATCTTCCATCCGAAGTAAGTGACTCCGTTCTTACCGAGCTTGGCGAAATAAAAAGAAGCCAAGTAAATAAATAATTAAAAACAGCTTTTTCTTTTATTTAATAAAAACGTTCATATTTATTGCAAATAAGGGAGATTGTGTTTATTTGATTCAAAAAGGAACAAAGTAATTCAGTACTCTAGTAATAATTCAGTGGTAATTTAGTACCCAAGAAATTCAGTCTTATTCAAAGTAGTTCAATAGGAACGTACAAAGATATGTACAGTATCGGCCATATCTATAGCACGCCATTTCAAAATAATATTGTTTGCCACTTATGTTTATTTATTTATTTTTAAGAATTTTCAAAGAAAATACAGTTCTTTCTCTAACAAAACCCATATAAACCAAAGTTTAAAAATTTGTATAAAACTACAAAAAAGTGCAAGCAATTTTCACCTAAATTTCAAACTTTTTTCTCAGAAGCTCCAGAATTTTTTTGAGTACACAGTTTTATAGCGCATTTAATTTCAGACTAATAATGTGTACGTTTCAAGTGGCTAAAATTACCGTTGATTTTTTAGAATTTTTGCGCGGAAGGTGTTGCGGGTTTCTGCCATATAAAAATAAATTGTGTTTAGTCGTTATATGGAAGAAAATGAGACAAAAAAATCTAAAAAATCAACGGTAGTTTTTAGCCACTTGAAATTGAGCTATAAAACTGTGTATTCCGAGAAAAAGGTTTGAAATTTAGTTGAAAATTTTTTGCACTTTTTTGCAGGTTTCTACAAATTGTCAAACTTGGGTTTATATGGGTATTGTTAGAGAAATAACTGTATTTTAATTGAAAATTCCTAAAAATAAATAAATAAACATAAATGGCACACAATATCACTTTGAAATAGCGTGCTATAGGTATGACCGATACTGAAGGTAATTAAAAAAATTATGGGTATCGCGAGAAGTAGTAACGTGTTGAATCATACAATATTACAGCTGCTTATAAGTTTAGTTTTTAATTCATGAAATTACATACATATATGTATGATTTTTAGACGTTATTAAACGTTATAACATCTTGTGGATCCCTTTACTATATTTACATATTTTGGTTTGGAGGCTTTAACAGAATATAAAATAAGTTCAAGTGATTTTCTCTTTCTGGTCCAACGCAGTGTTCGACAAATTGTAATTGTATTGTAATTTATAGAATTTATACCAAATTCTACAATACAAATACGAATGGTTTATATCATGATAAAAATATTACAAGGTAAATTCATTCTCTCAATTCGTCGGCCATGATTTTTTTCTGACGTTTGCCAATATTTTAAAATTATATAAAATTGAGAATAAATTGTTCACAATTGTTGTTGTTTGAGATTGAAAATGAGAATGTATGTGTGAGTTTGAGTTTTGATTTTAAAATTATATTGTTGTTATGTTTTTATCATGGTTTATAATATAAATATATAGTATATATATATAATATAATATATATACAAGAATGATAGAATACAATAGGGATGCCCAAATCAGCACATATGTGTCGCGGGCGACTGCGCGCGCAAAGCTTTGCACAGCGGTGCTGGGCAAGCGCGGAAGCAAAAAGTTATCGGAAGGGGAAAACGAAGTCAACAGAATAGTGAGATTGTATGTGTGACAGTGATGGAAAATGAGTGTGCATTGTGCCATTTTCGGCCCTTTCTGAAGCAGCCGGCACCTTCAGCACAATCGATTGATTTTCGGCACTATGTTTGCACATTTCAATGCAACTAATAAATATTTCTTTCGGATCCGCAATTAAAAATATTTTTTTTACATTTAATCGTATGTGCTTAAACTGATAAATGATATAAACATAGAAACGCAAGCAGAAGAATCTCGCTTCCACATTTTGCATATGCGCTTAACATTTTTGTTTAAACAAATTTGTCGAAATTGCATCTCTAAAGCAAATATTAAATATCATTTAATATATACTTTAGATTTAGATAATCATTTTTAGTGGTGGGCGAGTCCGACATGTTTAAATGATCGAGATAGTACATTCAATTCGCGTAGATTTTTGAGAACTTTTTCCGTTGAAGGTGTTGCACTTTTTTTTCATACTGAAATTTGTTGTACATCATTTATCATTGTCTAAGAAAAACTATAAAATAAAGCTTAATTTAAAATATTGGAATAAAAAACAATAACGCTACACGCGCATTCATCCATATAACATAAAATGCGAACGTTCGTTATATGGAAGAAAGTGCGCAACACCGCAAACAGAAAAATTCAAAATATCAATGGTATTTTCTAGACACTTCAAACTTGCACCTTATTATAATAGAATGAATGGGCTACAAAATTGTTAACCCAAAACATGTCTACAAATTCTGAACAAAAACTGTGAAAATTTGATGAAACTTTGTTGATTTTTTTCATTCTTTCAAGTTTCGATTTATTTGCAAGGTTTTTATTTGATAATGAGCTATAATTTTATAAAAAAAAATAATTAAAATTATTTAAAAAAATAAAATAAGTACCGGGTGACCGCGTAATTTTGTCAAAGATGAAGGCAATGATGATAAAATATTAATACACTATATAGGTCAGTTCATATTAATGAACATAAAATGAGATCACTATCGATAAAATGGAAATCCTCAAGGGAAATTTATGATCTCAACGCATGGAACTTACATACATTTTTTTACTTTCAACCCCCGAATTGCTCAATTACTTCTATTTCTGCAGGATCGCCATTAGGTAAATTGCATTTCCAAAGATTTTTTCAAAATAAATAGCGATGAGGGATATTTCACCCGCCGGTGATAAGAAATCGCAATCACCATAACGCACATCACTAATATTACTGTTAACAATCGTAATTTCGTTTTGTAGCAAATATGAAATATAGGTATATCCATTTACTTAAATGTAAACGGATTAAGAATCAAAGTGCTAGAAGAGATTTGAGCGTTTGGTACAAAAAGAATTTTTGATGTTGAAATTGTACTTAAAATCGGCAAATTGTACTTTGGTACATTTTAAAATTAATTGTACTGAAAAAAGTACAATTGTACTTAAAATATCAACACTGTTTCACTGGCGCTGTACTTGCTGCAGCGATGCCAGATTTGAGCGTACCCAATTTTTTACCAATAATAACTCATGCGAGGGATGGGTATTGGGCATTTTACAAGCCTATTAGGAAGTATACATATCTGTGTTCGTATAGAATAGTAGCTTATGTCGGAAGACTGGCTTTAGTATAATGAACCATTCGCAGCATACGATTGTGAAAGACTCACTGGCGCCGAGTCATTGAAGAACTCTTGGGAAATAAACGTAAAAGACGGTAATGTTAATGACGATGCTAGCAAGTCAATATTCGTATAACGTTTCATAAAAAAATTCCTTGTGGTTTAAATAATATAGGAAATGGTATATTTTACTAAAGCCAGCCTCCCGACATAAGCTACTATTTCATACGAACACAAATATATTCGTCTACAATAATGTTGATTATTTTAATTAAGTCCTTAGATAAGTTTGTGAATCTTATCAGTGTTCTATGTAAGAACCAAAAATCAAACCCCTCGCCAATTAGAACTTTTGCTTTAAAATAAAAATATACATAGCGCATTTACTAAAGACTTGGTCTGGCATCACTGTTTGAGCATTGATGTGCTCAGCTCCCTGTTGCCAATGTCGTGCATTTTGCACTAAATTTGGTGCTTTTGGGAAACCAAAAAGCCAAAATAATTGGAATTCAATGCTTGGTGCGGTATTTACTGATGATTTTTTAATTTAAGCACACCGAATGCATAGGTACATATGTATGTATGTACACACTATACACTAATATTCTACATTAAGATGGAATTCATTTACTGAATAAAATGTGAGGAATAGGTAAATTAAATATGTTTTGCGTTGCTATAAATGTATTGAAATTAATTTATTAATAAAAACGTGAGAAAATGGATATGCATATACACTTTTTACTGAATCAAAAAAATTATTAAACATGATAATAAAAACTTGGCGCTTTGGTTTTGACAAAATTGGCTTTTTCTGGTGGCCTGATGCCACACTAGCTCAGTTGTCGCAAAAGTACACATATGTACATACACGCTTTTTTACTTGAAATAAGTGTCACTTCACTTCGCCTAGCACGCTCGCGTGCGCAAGGTTTTTGTTTGATAATGAGCTATACAGCTCACTTCACTTCGCCTAGCACGCTCGCGTGCGCGCAGTTTGCCCGCGACGTCGACTGCGTGCACCTATGCTGTGCATCCCTAGAATACAAGATTGCGCCGATCAGAGGATTTTTGAGAATAACTTTTGTGCGACGTCACACTGGTGCAATTGCGAAAGAGAAATGCCAAAACGTGAGCAAGAATGGAAGAAGAAAAAATGTTGCAAGGAAAACGTAAACAAGTTGCACAAGTGTGACGTCATGCAAACAAAGATTCTGTGAAATTCGTTAAGAGAGGAATAGCGAGATCGCCGCAAGCTTTGTATTCTCTCAATCGTGATATATATATATATATAATATTATTATCGAATGAATCCTTTTATTATAAAAATGGATTCAAGTTAAAAAGAAATAAATAAATCGTCAACTGTCGTATAATTGCAAACGCTAGTTATACGCCTAAAACTATAAATGTGTTTTTGCCAATGCCACGATTGGTGCAACGGTCGGCTCATCTGGCAATACAAAATCACTGGCAGCAACGTCAATGTGGGTATATTTGTATGGCTTGGGGAATGTTTGTACAGGTACAGGTTTGTCAGGGCTGAAAAAAGATGTGTATATTTTTCAGCATTTAATCGCTTATTATTCGAATTTGCTTACTTAAACCGAATGTTCTGTTGGTGCCGTTGTTGCTGTTCAAGTTGCTCCGAAATCCGAACCACTAGCAAGAGCAGTGTTTCCGAACACGCCGTATAAAGGTGATGTGGATTTGGCCGTCAATGACATGATATGGTGATGGAGAAAAGGCAGTTGTTGTAAATGAGCGAAGGGCGCCGGTGAAAATGTTATTTGGCGAAACGTTCGGCCGGAAACGAAAGGCACTTGCAATCATTTTACATCCATTTGCAGAAGCCTGCAAACCAAGAGCTAAAAAATATATATTATAACTTTATGGATAATAAGCAGCATATACAATTCAAACCTGATTTTATAACTATATCGCGCACACCCACAGGTTTAAGCTGGTTTGCTTTCAGTCAAACATTTTTCCATAAGGCTTTCGATTCTTGTAGCTTTCTCAATTCTTTCCTTGTGTCGCTTCTCCCTGGCTT